TCAACCCTTTGGTCCACAGGCCAACGCTCTATTCACTGAGCCAAACCAGGTAGGGCTGAAGTCATTTTCAAGGTCCACCATTTCTTACTCCTTTTCAGTAGGGTCAAGTTTCTAAGCTTTCTAAATCTTCATTTTCCAGCTAAGGAAAAGAAAACAGGATTCCACCGAGTCTCCTATCTACCTACTCCAGGACTTCTGTGAGGTTCAAATGAGGTGAGGCACGGGAAAATGCTTCACAGACATCTGGTAAAAGTGTAAAATGTTTCCATCTGGCTATAAAGCAAGTTGTGTTCCTGGGCTGAAAAACTCCAAGGAGGCTAGTCTCTAGGGAGATGAAGCCGGGAATTGCTACGTGATGTCATTACACAGTACCCACAGCGACCATTTCTGGGCTGGGCTGGGCTGTGGACCGCATTTTGTACCATGGGATCTCAGCAGTGTTGGCTGCGATTTGGTGGGCTGTCACTCTGGGGTGGTGGCGGGGCCTGCGTCCCACTTGGGGGAAGCCGAGTGTTGCTTTGTGGGAGCCAAATCTGTGATGCCTTTTCTCTGTAAATGGACAGTGAGTGTCATGGCAGCTCCTGTGTTGACCATCTTCCCCCTGGTGGTCAGGGCGTGTCACAGCGACCAATCAGAGGATGGGATATTTAGCATATTAGCCTTTTATATATACAGATTGCACATATCTTAAAAAAAAAATCAATTCTAGATTGTTATAACTTGTGAAAAAGATGTTGGAATTTATTAAAAAGAAAAAAATTAAAGCTACTCTTCCAGACTACAGCTGTCTTTACCTGTGTAAAGATGAAAAAAATATTTGAGTGTACTGGCATGTGCACAGGAGAACATAGTCTAGCAAAGAATAGCCTGAAGAAAAGAAAATGATGAACCTATAGAAAAATTTCAATGTCTGTCTCTTTCTACCAACTCTACCCACTTTCACAGATTCAGATAGTAATGAGCAAAAAAACAGCTAGAGCTGGGGAGAATGAAGCCCAACATTACACACAGATTATCTGAAACCAAATAACCACACTTGTCACATAAAATTACTGCAATATCTAAAATAATTAGAAGTTGTTTAATTTCCCTCAAATATTTCAGAAACTCATTTCAAAATACAGTATGGTTAAATATACACATATAAACCGATAAAAGAAAAATAAGTACACTTAAATTTGATCTTTAATGTTATAACTACCACAAGTACCAAAGTAATAGAGTTACATGGGTCAAAATAATTTGCCCAAACAATGTAATTGTATTTTAAGGGCACTAGAAAATTATCAAGTCAGGTAAATTTCCAGATAATTTCAGGGTCCTTCTCCTCAAGTGAAAAGGAAAGGGCATGAATAAAATTACAATACAAATCTGTAATAATGAAAGTGTAATATGCAAATCGACCAAATGGCTGAACACCAGAACGACCATCTGGATGACCACGCTATGACACTCACTGGCGCCAGGACAGCCAAGGTGGGTGCGATGAGATTGGTCGGGGGCCCCGCCATCGCCCCATGATCACCCCGCAGAGGGAGACCCAGGCCACCAGCCGGTGGGGTGATCAATCAGGGGGTTCCATGATCGCCCCAAAGAGAGAGGCTTAGGGCACTGACTGGTGGGCTGTGGCGGGTGGGCAGGGCCTCCCTCTGCGGGGTGCAATTGATCACCCCAAAGAGGGAGGCCCAGGCTACCCCGTGGCAGCCCTGGGCCGTGTGGGTGGGGACTCCCCCTGCAGGGGCTATCCATCGTGGAGCCCCAGCCAGGTGGGCAGGACCTACCTCTTTGGGACGATCTATCGTAGAGCCCTGCGATCAATCGCCCCCGGATTTTCAAGAGGACGCAGGCCAGGCTGAGGACCACCCCCACCACCACCAGTGCATGAATTTCGTGCACTGGGCCTCTAGTCTACATATAACCTTCATTGCCCAAATTTATAGAAAGATTGTGCATTTTTAAAAAATATATTTTATTGATTTTTTACAGAGAGGAAGGGAGAGGGATAGAGAGTTAGAAACATTGATGAGAGAGAAACATCGATCAGCTGCCTCCTGCACACTCCCCAGTGGGTATGTGCCCACAACCAAGGTACATGCCCTTGACCAGAATCGAACCTGGGACCCTTGAATCCACAGGCCGACACTCTATCCATTGAGCCAAACCGGTTAGGGCAAGATTGTGCATTTTTAAAAGCCCTGGTTGAAATTTAAGCCACATCACTTGATTCAAAATATATTTGGCAAAAATATTATTGATACCTATTGAAAAATGAAAAAAATTTCTCCAAGCATTCCAGGTGAATAACTGGTTAAAGAGCATCAACATCTGCTCAATGATCATATGAACTTATCTGGCTATAACTCTTCCAGTGCAATATCCAACTAAAGACTAACTCCAAACCAGTAAAACTCAAATTTCACTTCCCAGAGTTTCCAAACAGAATAAGTATAAAAATAATGCTTATAAATTAAACAAGAAACTAAGATTTATAAAATTTCAGAATAAGGCACCCCAGCTATTATCATCTAGTACAGTGCTTCTCAAATCTTTTGACTATATAAGCCACTAGAATATACAAAATGCCTATCTTGCCTATTCCCACTTTTGCAGTATAAAGTCAGTAGTAACGAAGAATTTGAGAGGAACAAAATAACAGAAAGTTCACAAAAAAAGGAATCTCATGAATATGCATTTAATTAAAGGATGTGACAATGTAATTATAAAGAATTTTATGAGTTTTATAAGTATTAACTCATTTATTTCTCACAACTGCCCTATGAAGTGTATATTATTATTACCTCCACTTCATAGATGCATTGATTGAGTTCAACAGTTTTATCTGACTAATAAAGGAACTATGGTCTGATGGTGATGACAATGATGATGACTAACACTTTTTTGGACTTACTATTTGCCGGTCACTGTTCTAAGCATCTTCCTTATTTTATGTACTCATAAACCTTACTAATTCATTTACTCATAAAATATGAGATAGGTAACATTATAATCCATTTCAGAGATGAGAAATCTGAGGCATGGAGGGGTTTACTTAATCTGCCCAACATCATAAGTGGCAGTGGTAAAAATCATTCTTAGGTAACTTGGTTCTAGAAACTGGCTGTGCTTTAACTTATATAACTAACCTACAGTCACATAATTGATAAGTAGGAAAGCTAACTATAGATTCCCAAGTTTTGCTTTTGCCTCTACACTAAAATGCTAACAAATTATACCACATCTAAAAACCCTGGGAGGTATTTACAAGGTTCTCAAGCATATGAACAGAGAATCTTTTCAATTCTTGGTCCAAACATCACATAGAAAGAAATAAAATTGATCATTTTTCTAATCCTGACTTATCTTTTATGGTCATAATATAAAACCAATTATTTCCTATAAGATGTGAATCACCTTAAGATGTAATGTGCAATTCCTTCAGAATCAAAAGTTCTACCTTGTAAAACCTTAATTTTTGTCCAAAAATATATAAATCTTAGATTCTAAAATTATATGTATACTTACGCATACAAACACAAAATTCCTTTCAATATCATTCAAATCATCTCTAGGGTCTACCTTCTGGAATTTTGAGCTCTTACTATGTTTTGACAAATTTTCCCCTGAAGATATAGTTATAGGCTTTGTTCTCCAGATAAGGTTCTTAGTACCAAATCCATGAATCTCCAAAGTCCCATAACCTAGTCTCTTTAGAAAGGAGCATAGATGGAAAGAGACAGGCTCAGAATGAGTGCCGCTGTACAAAAGAGCTGGCCTGGACTCTTCCAAACTGTCGAAATCACGGGAGACAAAGAAAAGCTGATAAACTATTCCAGGTAAAAGGAATCAAAGAGATGTGACAACTATGCAGTGTGATTCTGGATCAGACAACGTGATAAAATTTTAGTATGGACTGTATATCCTATATAATAAAAGCCTAATATGCAAATCAGCCGAACAGCGGAATGACCGGCGGAACGATCAGTCACTATGATGCGCACTGACTACCACGGGGCAGATGCTCAACGCAGGAGTTGCCCACAGCCCGAAGACCCCAGGCCAGCCAAGGCAGGCATGAGTGGGGTCCCCTGATCGCCCCGCCAGTCACTCTACAGAGGAAGGCGAGGAATGGCAGTGGCGGGGGGCAGGGCTGGTGAGTGGGCAGTGCCAGGCTGGCCAAGGCGGGTGCCAGAAGGCACCCCCCCCCAACTGCCTTGCAGTCGCCCCACAGATCGGCCCTGATCGTTGGCCAGGCCTAGGGACCCTACCCGTGCATAAATTTTGTGCACCAGGCCTCTAGTTAAATATAATAATAAAAACGTTATGTTTCTTGAATGTGGTTATTATACTGTGGTTAAGTAGGAGACAAATAATGAATATTTAGGAGTGAAAGATCATAAATGTCTACAACTTACTCTCAGATGATTCTTCATCATTATCACCATAATAGTGGTGGAGGAGCAGAAGTAGTAAAATACAGAGAGATAAAGCAAACGTAACACAATGTTTACAATTGGTGAAACTGGGTAATGATATAGAGGTGTTCAGTTTATCAATCTTGCAATTGTTTCGCAGTTTGAAATGTTTTTAATAAATGTTAAGGGGAAATAGAAAAGATAAAAATTTTCATTGTGACATAAAGAAAATAAAGACTTTCTCAGACTCATTCACTGAACACTGAGTTAAAGAATAAGAAACCTAAGCCAGAGTTCAATTACTAGATTATTCTATTTTTTTCTCCTTTTCTCTTTCATAAAGTCCAGGTACTTATGTAATATTCCCTTATTGAAGCCTATATTACTTTCAATGTGCATTTAAGCAGCTTATAAAGTGTAATCTAAAACTTTTGGAACATTTTCAATTAGAAATGTCAACACATGTTTTATGATAACCTTGAAGCTTCTCAGATCATATATTCCATAAAAATAAGAGTCAACAGGTAGTCATTTTCTCCATACTTTTGTAGAGACAAAGCTCTTTATAAACAGAGCTACAATTCTTACCTGGGAGACTTCTTTGTTCATAATGAGTCCTCAAAACAGATAGGGTCAAGTTAGTGCTCCTGAGGTTAGCTTCCAGGGGAATGGGGTAAAGATGTTCTCCAGAGATGGCTCTAATCTCTTCACTCTCACCTCATTTAAGGACAATTATGCAAAAAACTAAAGCAAAGGAAAAGAAAAAAAAAAGCAGAGGGAGGTTAGATTGTCATTTTATTGTTTAAGAAATGATAAAGGTCAGAATGCTAGGTAAAGAAAAATAACCTTTAAGGCCAAATGGAAAAATATTTCCAAAGACAGTGTATAAAAGTCTAACTTTACAGTTAAAGTCCTTTCTGATGATTAAATATATATTCCTACTTAAGACTGCTACTTACATAATGCCTAATTACATTCTGCCCTTAATCTTTTGAAAGACTCATTTATATGTCTTTAATTTTTTTTCTGACTGTAAGTATATGTTTATTCTTTCTACTTATAAATCACTAGAGGCCCAGTGCACGGGTTTGGCACCAGTGGGGTCCCTCGGCCAGCTCTGCGGGGATCAGGCCCAATCTGGCTCTCCGACATCCTCCAAGGGGTCCCAGGTTGCGAGAGGGTGCAGGCCAGGCCGAGGGGCCCCACTGGTGCACAAATGGGGCCGGGAGGGACTGCAGGAGGGCTCCAGGGCGTGTCCAGCCCATCTTGCCCAGATCCCAGCAGTAAGCTAGCCTACCAGTCGGAGCCTCTGCCCCCTAGTGGTCATTGCATGTCATAGTGACTGGTTGAACAGTTGAACAGTCGGGCACGTAGCATATTAGGCTTTTATTACACAGGATGATTTTTAAAATATATTTTTATTGATTTCAGAGAGGAAGGGAGAGGGAGAGAAACAATAATGATGAGAGAGAATCATTGATTGGCTGCCTCCTGCACCCCCCGACCGGGGATCCAGTCTGTAACGCCGGGCATGTGCCCTGACCAGGAATCAAACCATGACCTCCTGGTTCATAGGTCAATGCTCAACCACTGAGCAACACCAGCTGGGTAACAAATTAGATCAGTGGGGAATGCAAAGTCATGATCTGTGCTTAGAAAGGTGCCTAAACACACATACAAATATAGTCTCGATTTATATACAGTGCCCAAGTTCAATCAAACACTGAGATGCTGTGATTTCAGAGAAAAAAAAAAAGGGATTTTAAATACATGAGATATATATTAAGGGACAAAGAAAACCTTAGGAAAGATGAGGACTGAGTGCCATTATTACAATTTTCTAAATGTTTCAAGAAGGCAAGGGTGATTCAAATGTCATATACCAGAAAAAGGGTCAGGTGGGTAAGTAACCCCTCCCTGTCTCCAAGATGAAGGGAATCACAGTAACAACTCTTTCCACCTCATGATGGAAGTGGCCTGGGTAAAGAGGTAGAGGCTGGGATACTGCGAAGAAGGGGAAAGGAAAAATTCTAGCTTGGTTATTAAATGAAAGATGGTCTCATAAACCCAAAGTAGAATTGCTTTTCAATATACTGTTATCATCTCCTATCACTAACTCAGAGAGGTATTTCCACTAATCAGTCTAAATTTCATCACATGTAACCCTTATATAGATACCCCTGAAAAAGTCTTGCATACACTAAATTTTATAAAGCAAATGTTATTCTTTATATGTAAAACTAAAATATTTCATTCAATGGAATCCTAGTGTGAATCATTCTTTTAAAAATTAATCCCAAAGGAAAAAAAATTAATTCCATCTTTTGTATAAAAATTTTTTGAGACAAATATATAAAAACTTAAATAAACACAAATAAGAATAAAAATTAAAACTGTCCATACAGACCCATACATTGAACCATTAATAATAACTTGACCATGATATTTGTTGTACATGCTCAACAAACCAAACTGTATTAAATTTAGCAATATCGTTGGAAATAGGAATCCCAATTTAACGCTAGTTTATTATAACAAGATAAACTGAATCTCCCCAAAGACATGCTTTTAGTAGTCTTAGTTTAGGCTAACTTTGATCTTGCTGGGAAGGAGTTTAAAGAATTTCATAGAAAGGTTAAGAATTTTACCTGGAAAAACTGTAAAGAATTTGTGGAGCGGGTATGAGCAAGAAGTACTGAGGAGTTTGAAGAGGCTGAGAATGCAGGTTGTTCAGGGGAGAAACAAGAAAAGCACAATGTAGAGATGTGGAACAGGAAAGTCTGAACAAAGATATTTAAAGGCAATTTATAAGGAAGTATGTCTTACTAGATGATACAGAATGTAAACTATTCCTTTCATCCCAACAAAATTCTTAGGAATAGTCTACCTTATTCATTACCAAAAATATAATTTTGGCATTATATATTTTATGTTTTTGCTTGTTTTCTTGTATGGAAGACATCTTGAAGAGAACTTCAAGGACAATAACACTAGCCTAAAGATTAAGGCCAATTTGTCCTCTTTCTCACAGTAATTACATTATGAAAATATACAGGTGGTAAATCGAATTACTGAATATTCTATTTCTTATCGAAAAACAATATATTTCGTCAAGTCAACTAACAAGTTAGCAAACTGGTTAATACAGGTAAATCTAAGGTCATAATGAAGCCAAGGTTTATGGATTTGGATCCCTATGATCCATTAACTGTACTATTCCAAGTTCACACGTTATATACCTTTCAAATGAAAGTAGATGAATGGTCAGTTAAGGATAGAAGAGAATATGAATAGATGAGTGAGAAGTCATCAGTACTACTACTGGCAAAATTTGAAGTATACTGGTATGTCCACTGATTTTGAATCTAAGGTCATATTAGCTTGTGGAAAACGGTCGAAGAACCTTCAACAATTTGGAAAATTATACTATTTCAATCTTATGTAAGTTTTTTCAAGAAGGTTCACCATGTAATTTTAAGTCTAAAACAAACCCAAGTGAATACTTTCCGTGAATAAATTAGGGACTACATTCATAAAAGAATTACTACTTAACATTCAATTATCTCATTTTAATGATGCTTAAATTAAAGCAATTAATTTACCAGAGGAAAAGAATCTAAAAGGTCCTGTTAATTGTTGACCATAAAAGAAGAAATACTTAAAAAAAACAAAAACCCACAGAATCTACATATTTTGTTTAAATTCCTCTCATGTTTTAACCTAACAAAAGCAATAATTGTAACATAAGTAGTAACATCAAATTCTTAATCATAATTGAAAATACAGTACAAAATGTCTACTCCTTCCTACTTAACCATCTGGAACATGTTAAAAACTCCCTAAAAGCATGAGAAATCTGCAAGTATAATTACACCCTGGGACTATTAGCATGGCATGCTTCAATAAATACTCCTAATAAGATCTGCTGATATAATAATTGGCACTAAAACGAATGGATTTTCATTATGTGGGTATTTGTTCCTACTGGCTAATTTGTTCCTACTCGAGAAAACTGATAAATTGTCCCTTGAATAGAAACAAACAAAAAAACACCCAGCAAGGGCAAAGTGTGACAGGTTGCAGAGATAAAACAGAAGGGACAAGCAAAGAGCAAAAATTTGCAAATGCCTGAGTTCAATTCATATTTTCTCTCTCGCTTTCTCCTTTTCTTTTCTCTTCCTGCATCCCCCAAATCTGGCATAAATATCTGTGTTCTTGTCAAAAATGATCTGGTTGGGGTTAGAAGAAAATGTTATATTAAATCTTGAGTTGGTTAAAATCTAGTTTGCTAAAGGTCTTCAGATCAAATTGTAAGAAAAAATATTCAAAATTTACTCTATTCTTGATGGTTTGGGGAAGTGAACATTTAGCTACTTAAATTGGAAAGGTTAAGCAAGGGAATGACCCGACCAGCTAAGATTTTCAGGATGATAGCTTTGGTAGCTGAGCAATGGAGGCAAGAGGGTTGCTGTGATCATTTAATTCCAACACAGTGAGCAGTGGGATTTATGTAATAACAGTTGGGCCGAATGAGATACTGGAATAAAACAATAAGAATTGGGGGTAAAAAAAAACAAAACAAGAGGCCAAGTAGTCTGCATGTATAAATTATAAAAGTAATGCATGTTTACTGTACAAGTCTAGAAAATGCAGGTAAATAAAAATCACCCACAAGTGTTCCATCTAGAATTAATGCAAAGATTTATATATTTATTATTCTATAAATACAGATTATGGTACCACAGTATACGTATTGTTTAAGAGCACCTTTTTTTTTTCACTAAAGTTATCTATAACTTCTCATGTTATTAAATAGTCTTCTACATAGCTTGTATTGTCTATAAAATATTCCTATGTGTGTATGTGTCATAGGTTTTAAGCAAGGCAGTAAGTACTACAGGACTTTAGACTGTTTCTTCATGCTGTTAAAAACAATACTATAATGAGGCATTTTTCTGGCTGAAATTTTGTTTACATTCAGGATTATAGTCTCTAAATAAGCTCCTACAAGCACCAAGTTTCCTGGCATGAGAGATGGGATAGACATTAATGCCATTTAGTCAAGACCGAGTTTGCAGGCAGTAACAGATGTCTGAGGGAGAGGCTAATGAATTCAGTTATGTACACATTAATAATGAATATGACATCCAAATAGATAAGTCCAGCTGACTTCCAAAGAAGTGAGATAAAAAGGTTTTTGGAGCCCTAACTGGTTTGGCTCAGTGGATGGAGCGTCGGCCTGTGGACTGAAGGGTCCCGGATTCGATTCCGGTCAAGGGCATATACCTTGGTTGCGGGCACATCCCCAGTGGGGAGTGTGCAGGAGGCAGCTGATGGATGTTTCTCTCTCATCAATGTTTTTAGCTCTCTATCCCTCTCCCTTTCTCTCTGTAAAAAATCAATAAAATATATTTTTTTAAAAAAGGTTTTTTGAATCCCTTGGTAGTAGAGTAGATGAGATGACCAAGGAAAAGTGAAAAGAGAAGAGAATAAATTACCACAAAGACAATCCAATATTTAAGGAAGGGAACAATTAAAGCTGGAATATCAATTTTAAAAAGAGAGATAGCCCGGCCGGCGTGGCTCAGTGGTTGAGCACTGACTTGTGAACCAGGAGGTCACAGTTCAATTCCCAGTCAGGGCACATGCTTGGGTTGCGGGCTTGATCCCCAGTGTGGGGCATACAGGAGGCAGCCGATCAATGATTCTCTCATCGTTGATGTTTCTATCTCTCGCTCTCTCCT